CCTTCCCTCCGGGAGGGAGGGAGCCGAGGACCGCAGCCCCCGCGGCCCGGAGGGACCCGGCTGTGCCGCCCGCTCCGGTCCTCGGCCCAGGAACCAGGGGCATTTGCGGGGAGCTCCGGTCAGGTCCGGTCTCCGTGGGCGACGACCTCCGCCCCGAGGCCACGCTCAGGGCCCCGCAGACAGGGGCGCCTGGCGGTTGCGCCCACCCCCGCCCAAGAGAGGACGGGCGAGGAGGGCCGGAGCCCACCCCCCTGAGCAGAGGAGCCCTCGGGGAACCCTCTGGGATTGGCTGAGGATGCGGGCCTAGGGAAGGGGGCTGAGGGGGAGGCAAGGGAAGGGACAGGGAAGGGAGGGGCGAGGAGGGGAGGGGACCTCGAGGGGAGGGGCACCAGCTAACTCGACGAGTTCGTAACTTACCCCATCCGCTTATCAAAGGCCAGATCCCGTTAAATTTGGACATTCTTTAAATCATTATTGGGAAAATAACTTCACAACAGCACAAAGACCACACAAGCGCCCTTGGCCATGATAACTATAAATGCGTCCTTCCGCTCTGGCCCCGGGGGACTGGGACCTCCGGGCTTCCTCACACCGGTGGGAGATGGCTTCTCAGCTGGGGTCCCTCACACCTGTGGGGGCCCACTTGTTGTAGGCCTGGGTCTCCGCGGGAATAAACCATCAGCACCCCTGGCCCGGGGTTTCCGTCTGGGGGAGAGCACAGATGATGAACACAGTGAAGAGGACCGCAGGCCGGTGGTGGGGGCCCGGGTGCAGTTTTAAATGGGGGTTCTTCCCTGAGCTCCAGAAGTGGGGCCTGAGGCGAGACTGGGGGGCAGCAAACCCACAGGAAGGCCCAGGCTGCTGTGCTCCAGCTGTGGCAGGCTCCCACTCCCCAGACACCACACAGACCCTTCTGAGCGCACTAGCATCACCACGCAGGCCCGGCCTGGACACTGTGCACAGTGGCACTGGGCTCAGCTCCCTGCCAGGCCTGGCTGGCTTAACTAGCACATGCCTTCCCTAGGTGACAAGGGGGCAGGCCTGCGGCCCTGGGTGAACACTGTGGCCACAGCTCCTGGATACCTCATGGCTGCAACTCAGTGCACACACACCTGCCAAGTCCAGGCAGTCACCCTCAATTTCTATCAGTGGGCAGGAGAGTCCAGTTCTTTCAAGGGTCCCTGTGGCTGGGCGATCGGGGTGGACACTGGGTGGAGGACACTGGCCCATCAGTTCTGCCTAATCTGTGTGTGAAGTGAAAGGAGAGAGACAAGGGACGGCCTGTGCTGTTCCCTCTGCTAAGTATGAAAACAGCAGTAACCACAGCAGCACTTGAGACACATCAGCTCATTTATTGTTCAAGGGGCTCCATGAGATTGCACTTTCACAGTCCCCATGGACAGATGAAGATACAGAGGGTCAGAGTGGTTCCGTGACTTGCCCAAGTCATGCTGGAGAGGGTTAAACCCACACACACAGCTTCAGAGATGGTTTCCAACTCCATGCGTCCTGCTCCAAGAATAAGTCAGGGTGGGCTGCTGGGCCAGTTTGGGCCCCTCACAGAGGCTCTGGACCCCCAAGGGCCTCCCGGGACTTAGCCACTCAGAAAACGCACCCAGCCCCCTCCCTCTGAGGCCAGTAGATCCCAGACTCCAGGAGGGTGTGAGCCCTGGTGTGTGTGCTCTGAGGCTCCCAAACCCACACACTGATCCCAAACAGCCCACAGGCTGCTGGGCTTTCCTAGAGGTTTAACCCTGTTCCTCTGAGTTCTCCCCTCTGTGGATAACCTCCTCTGGCCACCTGGAGGGACAGCTCAGGAGGCTGCAGGTATCGGCATTGGGAAGAAGTCTGAGGTGCAGGACAGCCAGTTTTTCCACTAGCGACAGCTATCAGCCCCTCCAAGGCCCAGACCAAGGCGGGAACTCACAGGCTGGTCCCGCCCCCAGTACTTGTGGGCGGTGGGTGTCTGCATGTACATGTGGTGCTTCTGGGGGACTGTGTGTCCCCATTTCTCTTCCAGGATCTGTGTCTGAAACCCCAGGGGCTGGAGCACCACTTGGCAAGGCCTGTGAGAAGAACAGAAACTCCCAGGCTGGGATAGGGGCTGCCTCCTTGGACTGCCCAATGGTCCCTCCTGCACTTGGTGACATCAGGGTGCCATTTTCAGCTGTGCAGAGTGGTCCCCAGGGGCCCACTTCCCCCACACCCACCTCCGCAGAGCCTCCTTGACATCCTTATTCCTCAGGGTGTAGATGAAGGGGTTCAGCACTGGGGTGATGATGGTGTTGAGCACGGTGATGGCCTTGGTCAGGTCCAGCGAGCTCTCCACCGAGGTCCTCACGTGCAGGAAGATGGTGGAGCCGTACCACTGTGAGGTGGGAGGAGCAGGTGGAGAAGGCCCTGCCCCGACCCTGGGCCGAGGAGATCCCGACGATGGTGACGATGATGTAGGCATAGGAGACCAGTGTGATGAAGCAGGAGCCCAGGATGACGCAGAAGGCGATGCCGAAGGACGCCAGCTCCACCGGCCGCCTGTCGCTGCAGGACAGCACAATCCAGGGCGTGATGTCGCAGAAGAAGTGGTTGATGATGCGGGAGCCACAGAAGGAGAGGCGGGTGATGAGGGCGGCTGGCACTGTGATGGCAGAGAAGCCGCACAGCCAGGAGCCCAGGGCAAGGCGGGCAGAGAGGCAGGGCGTCATGATGTTGCCGTAGCGCAGCGGCAGACAGATGGCCAGGTAGCGGTCGTAGGCCATGGCCACCAGCAGGAAGTACTCGGTGCAGCCCAGCGAGAAGACGAAGTACATCTGTGCCACACAACCGGCGAAGGAGATGGCTCCGCTCCGCGAGGCGAAGGTGGTCAGGGTCTTGGGCACACAGGCCGTGGTGAACCAGATCTCCAGGAAGGAGAGGTTGAGAGGAAGAAGTACATGGGCGTCTGCAGGTGCTGGTGCACCCCAACCAGCGTGATGATGGCCAAGTTCCCAGCCACCGTGAGCGCGTACATGACCAGGAACAGCAGGAAGAGCCCAACCTGTAGGCTCCGTGGCCCCGGGAAGCCCAGCAGGACGAACTGCCCCTGCGTGGACAGGTTCTGGCTGCGGCCCCAGACCATGAGCGCTGTAGGGACACAGACCAGTAAGAGGGACCTCCCACTGGAAACCCTCCCTGGGGGCTCAGGAAAAGAGGGCCACCCTGCTCGGCTCTCTCTGGGCTGTACTCGCCTTGCCCTATAGTCCCAGGACCCCAGCTGGGCCTAGCCTCCTGTGGGAGCCAGCGGACCATGGGCATGAGCCGCCTCCGGGGCGTTAAACTCTGCCCTGAGCGAGCCAGCTCAGAGCACTGCGGGGACGCAGGTTCCTGGCTGCTTCACCTGGAGTCCTTATTCTAGGTTCTGGTCACATGGGGGTGGGGCGTATCTTTATTCTAGACTCCAGATGCCTGAGAAAGGACAGTAAGTGTCAAGTTTTCACAAATGAAATTATGAATGGCCTGATTTTTAGCATTTTCGTCCAACAAACAGATTGATTCCTAGGGAAGAATTCCTATCACTGTGCCAGAAAAGCCCCCCGGAAACAGGACCACAACCTTCAGGGTAGCCTGTGGGGACCCAGTTCTCGCCCCGGGCTGTCACTTGATTATTCCTCAGCTGGGAAGCCAGGTGCCCCGAAACGTGGAATCGCAAACACCCGTGTCACCAGCGCCCCCTCCTGGCCAGATGCTGGGGTCGGGAAGGGGAGGTCGGCAAGCGGCTGGGAAGCGAGGGGGCGGGACGTGCAGGACGCGGGATGCGGGGTCAGGGCTGGAGGGAGGAGGGTTAAGGGGAGACGCTCTCAGACCCGCGGCGCTCCCCCACCTTCTCGGAACCCGCAGCTGGACCTGGAGCTCAGCGCCCTGCCGCCCACTGGCCGGTCACAGCGCTGCCCTGACGACAGTCCGAGGGAGGGGCCGGCCCGAGGGGCGCCTCGACCCCGCGGACACCAGCCCAGAACCAGCAACCGCAGGGAGGCAGGTGGGGCTGGGCCACTAAAGGCTTCGCCCTACCTGTCCAGATGCTGGACCTCTAGGGGAAAGGGGTCACTGCTCAGAAGCCACTGCAACAGATGCGGCTTTCGGCCTGCCCCCTTGTGCTGCGCGGCCCTTCACGCACCGCACACGGTCACTCACACGCCCATGTGCGTGCACACGTACGTGCACACACCACACACCCGTGGACACAGCATGCACACTCACCTGCTGTGCAGACGTGTGTGCACCCTCACTACCCAGATCAGCCCTGTAACTGTGGAGCACTCACCCCCATTCCTGATGCATTTGGGGTCCCTTATGTGAATGGAAAACAGCCACTGATGCCCAGGCATTTCACATTGTGACCACCCTGCTCACACCAGAGTCTGGACACGGATCAGGAAGGAGCCTAGGGTTCTCAGCCCAAGTTCCTGCTTTGCTTTTCCAGGACGTCTTTAACCCCTCAGAGTCCAGCCACAAAGTACTAACTTGGCCTCAGCCCCAGCCACCTCATGAGTGACGGGCGCTTCCTACCCTTGCTGTCCACCTACTGCTCGCTGGCGACCTGGACTGAGAACTGCCCTTCCCTGGCCTCATCCTCCCCACCCCAGTCTGGGATCTGTAAGCAATAAACCTTGTGCCTCTACTTCCTTTGGGTGCGGTATAGAACCTGCACCTTCTCAGAAAGACACGGGGTTGTCACTTCCCCAGAGTGAGAACTCAGGTGCGGAGGGAGCCACCTGCCAGCCCCCTGGGGTGGCTTGTGCCTCCTGCGTCAGCAGGTCACAGTCTGCATGCTCTTAATTCACCAGCTATGGCCCCGACACACGTGGCTGCATCCCGTCCCCAGCCCCGCAGTACGGCCAGTGCAGCTGTCCTTAATCAGAGCCAGAGAAAGTGACGCATGTTCCAGCCATGTCCACAGGACACCTGCTCAGGCCAGAACCCGTGCAGTTGGCGCTCAGACCAAAGCAAAACTCCAGAGGAGCATCTGCGGCAGTGCAGACAAGGCTAGTGCCCCTGCCCAGGTCCCAGGAGTGGGGCCACCATGGGCCCTGTCCCGGAAGGACAGCGCCCCTTCTCTGGCCATGGTGCTCTGTCCTGAGGGTGGGAGTCTTTGCCTGCCCTCCTCTGAACACCTGGCTGGGCGCAGACCCCTGCCAAGCTGCACTGGGGCCTGGGTCCTCAGCGCTGCTCCCCAGCCCTGGGCCCTGTGGCCCCCAGGCCGCACTGGACCACGAGCAGGAGCTGCCTGGGTGTTGGACCCTCACCTTTGGGAACTCCCCTGCTTTCCTCAGCCCTGACTCCAGATAAGCCTCTCCTTTAGAAAGCCGTTTTCGCTCTTGCAGATCATCACTGAGACGGAGAGAAAGAGAAAAGACACCTCTGCAAAGCCTGCCTTGCCTGGGGGCTCTGACAGCCCTCCTGCCCGAATTTCCCCTGTGCAGCTAGTGGGCAGGTCCTCCTGTGCCCTGGAGGGGAGGACAGCTGGCCTGCTCCCCCGTGTGCATGTGTGGTTCGTGCACAGGCAATGAGGACACAGAATCCTCCACGTCTTGCAAGGGTCTCTTGAGGCTCAGAAGACGGGACTATGGGGGGAGGGATCCTACTGTGAGCCCACCACGGGAGAGGGATGAGGAAATCTACCTGCAGCTCAGCTCGTGGAGAAGCAGCATGATGCAGGGGTCACTCACCCAAGGGGTCTGAGGAGGCTGCAGGTCACATCCTCCTGAAACAACCTGGAGGCCAGGAGGCTGAGCACAAGACACCGAGGCCCTCCAGACAGGGTCACTCTGGGTAGGAGTGCTGGTTCTGGCCAGCTGACCCTCTGACTGGCCTATGAAGGTCCCCTGTTGGCTGAGTCACTTCCTTTCTGCTGTCCACCTCCTCTGGACACGTGGCAAGAGGAACAGGGGACATGGACTGCTCTGGATCCACAGGGAGCAGCCAAAATCTTCATGCTTCCCTGGCAAGTCCATAGCCTTGGCCAGAAGGTGGATCTTGGCTGCCCAGAAGGGGCCCTGACCGACCACCAGCACAGGACCTGAGTGCCGTCCCTCAGCCTACTGCCTGGGCCTTAACTCTGCAAACTCTTCTGTCCATGCAGCCCTGGCTCTGGGCCTCAGCAAGATCAGCACTGGCCCTGCTGGGTGGGGTACAGCCCCGGCCTGTGGGCAGGAAGCCAGCACGCCCCTGCTGTTGTCCCCAGGCCGCCGTCCTCAGCTCAGATTGTGGCCATGCCTCACCTGCCACCCTACCTCCTCCGGGGCAGCGTCTCCACTGAGCCCCGCTGGCTGTCAGCTCATGTGCTGGCCAGGAGCCCAGATGTAAGGCCACAGGGGTCCCGGCTCACAGCCCAGACAGCCAGTGCCCCACTTCAGGGCAGTGAGGACAACTCCCCGCCCTGGACGCCCCTGACCTGCCCACCCACCACCAGGCGAGCAGCAGGGTGAGCCCCATGCCCAGCAGGCAGCCCTCCGACGCTCGCTTCTTCTGCCCTCTGTCTGGCCTCCCTGGGGCTCAGGCCTGACAGGACCCTCTAGCCAATTATGCAGCTGGCAGAGCCTGGCCCTGGGAGGGGTCCCAAGAGGAGGCGTCCCCGGTGGCGCCTGGCTTCCTGAGGGGCCCTTGTCCTTGTGCTGTACCTGGTAACCACTTCTCACCCCAACCCGACTGCAGCTGATGCAGGGCCAGTCCCCAACTGGCGTGTCTCCCAGGGCCCTGCGCCAGGGCCCACCACAAGAGCACCTGCGGGACAGCAGCCCCGGGCACCCCTGGGTGTGGGTGGCCTTGCTGCACACTGGACACTGGGTGCTCTTAGCATCCCCTCTGTAAACATCCCCTCTGCAAGGACATCCCATAGCTTGATAGACCGCCCCCTCCCCCTCCCACCCAAGCCCTCTAGGAACTGCTGCTCCAGGACCCCTAGGCTGGGGGCTATTTCCTGCCTGATCCCCCCTGGCCAGGCTGCTCCCTCAGGTGGGGCCCCCCAGCTCAGTGTGGATAGGAGGAGGCTATGACTCAAAAGAGGAGCTACTGTAGGCTGGATGGGAGAGCCCACCCTCAGGGCTCCGGGGCACACATGTAGGGCACACCAGGGTGCAGGGAGTTGGATGCACGGCCTGGGCCGGGCTATGGGCTGTTAGTCATGGGGTGCCCAGGCCTGGAGTCCTGGGAGGTGCTGGGGGTGCGCCCCACCCTGAGCCTGCTCCCCCATCAGCACTTTGCAGGTGACCATCAGCCAGGGTGGGTCCTGATAGGGTCCCAGGGACGAGGGGCGCCTTGGCAGACAGGTGTACACTGACCACTGACCCTGGTCTCAAGTGTCACGCCACCCTGGGGACTCCAGCACCACCACGGGGCCACCGCCACACAGGCTTGGCCCCAGGCTCTGCCTAGGATTTTGCAGGCTCACCTCAGTTACTTCCTCAACTTCTCCACGTCCAACAATTAGACCTCCCATTCCTCTTGTTACAACTAATGCCTTTGCAAACATTCCTTGACCAAAAATTTTGTCTGAAAATCTCCTTATGATAAAGAAGGGCATTTCAGACCCATAATTTCCCACTGACAAGACCACTCAGGAGGTGACAAAGCCCGGGGGTGGAGGTCCCCAGAAAAGCAGACCCAGATGCTGAGCGGGTGCCCCCAAGGCCTCCACAGGCCTGCCAGCCCCCGGGGCCCCGACCAGCATGGGACTGAGCAGGACACCCTTCTTTCTCCGCAATGGGGATACTGGTGTCTCCCAGCTAGCCCTGCCCCAGAGTGTGGCCATGAGTGGGAGGATGCCTGGGGCCCAAACACAGGGGTTTTCATTCCTGTAATAATGGAGATACATGCTCTTGCAGCAGTGGGTATTTTAAAGCAGAATGAAAATATTCCCATAGTGTTAAAATGGGACTTGCCCTGACTCCACCCCAGCTGAGACACTGCTGTGACAGAAATCAGACACCACACAAGGCCCCAGAGGCCGTGCAGGTGCACAGAGGTATCTGAGAACCAGGCCTGAAGTCTGGGCTCCCACCTGGCTGGAGGAGAGTATAAAGAACCCAGAGCAGGGGGTTTGTGCAGACACTCCTTTGGGGGCGGGGTGGAGGGTCCGCCTATACAAGAGCGTTCCTGGTGGGAACCCTGAAGCTGGGGGCACAGTGAGGGTCCGGAGTGGCCTTCGAGTTGGGGGGTGGCACCCCAGGATTTACAGGCCTGGAGTTCACCAGGGAAGGGAGGTGGCAGCTCCTCTGGGCCAGATGCTGCCGCTGGGGTTCCAGAAGCACCGAGAAGACAGCAGGGCTGTGAATGGACGCACCTCAGGACATCCTGGGAGTGCAGGCTGCGGTCCACAGAGGAGCCAGGGAAGACCAGGAAAGGGCCACAGGGTGTGGCGTCCCACTGCCTGGCCCCAATAGTGAGCACAAAGCTGGCTTCCCAGCTCCCCTGCCCCACAGGCCTCCAACCCCCACCATCACCCCGTAATAGCTCCTGAGTTGGAGAGGAGGAAATCTGACCGTGGGTGAGCTTCCTTTGGCTGCTGGATAAAGTCACCACCAACTCAGTGGCCTAGAGCAACACAAATGTGTTGTCTTACAGTTCTGCAGCTTAGGGGCTCCGAACAGGCCTCTTCCGCTGACATGGGGGGGCGGGGCTGGCTCCCTCCTGAAGGCTGGGGGTTGGGGAGGGGAGAACCCATTTCCTTCCTCTTCTGTCCCTAGAGGCCGCGGCTTTCTTTGGCTCGTGGCCCCTTCCTCCTTTTCCAAAGCCAGTGTCTCAGTGACACGCTGTAGTCACGTCTCCTCTGACTGACCTCCTGCCTCCTCTTCCACCTTTGAGGGCCTGTGATGGCCCTGGACCTACTGGGATGGTCTAGTGGTCTCCCTGCTCCAGCAGACCCAGTCCCACCCACAGCCCTCGCCTCTGCTCCACCTTCTGAAGCACTTTCACAGGCTCTGGGGACTGGGATCCGGACATTTTCTGGGAGGAGGTGGGTTTTTCTGCTGCTCACAGGTGGAACACGGGCAGGAAGCCGCCTGCCCCGCACCCACGGTCACAGCAGGAGCCCAGGCTGGGGCGTGTCTGTCCAGACACCCAGATTCCCAGGACAGCCTGTGTTCTGTGACAGCTGGACCTGCATTATCTGAGCGTTGTCAGAAAAGTCAACAGCTTAGAAATACACTTCTTACCTGAATGAACTTTAAGAACAGCTGGAGACAAAATAGAGCCATGTTTTAATTACAACAGGCAGTGGTGGTGAAAATAATCTTCATTTTTAAGCAGTCACGCAAGAAAAATTCTGTGTCAATAATTGGTATTTCATGATCCCATATTACTTCATGACTGTTTTTCAAAATGATACATAAATATACAGTCTTTTTAGGGAATTTTAGCCATACAGATAGAAAGCTGGAAAGTCCTGCTGCCCTTACCAGGAGGTCACCCCTCAGAACGCCTGGAGGGAAGGCCTCCCGGCACTTCCCGGGCTGTGTTTCGCTTTAACACGAAGGCGCTCACACGCTCCGAGGACGTGCGAGTCTCATCCCGTGGCACCAGGAGCGCGCTCCCAGGCCCTGCCCGCTGCCTGGCCCCCACCGGAACCCCACGCGCGGGCCAGTGCCCCTCCACTCGGACCCACCAGTGGGTGTTTGTGCTGCCCCCAAACTGTCCGCCTGCAAGCGTGGTGCTCTGTGCGGGTCTCCTTGTGAAGCCACCTGAGAAAGACGCAGCGTGACTGCAGGGGACGACACGGGTGTAAACACCGAAGTTTTTAAATAAGAAAAATCTAAAACCATAAAACAAAAACACCTTAAGGAACTAGAAAAAGAAGAGCAAATTTAACTCAAAGCCAGCAGAAAGGAGAAAACAGTAAAACTGGAGCAGACAAGTGGAGCAGAATCAACAAGCAAAAGTTGTTTCTTTGAGAAGATCGACAAAACACCAACCTTCCGCTACACTGACTGTGGAGAGAAGAGAGACACCACCAAGTCAATCAGGAATGAAGCGGGGACATCGCCACTGCCCTCACACAAATCAGCAGGAAGACAAGGGCGTGCTATGAACAAGGCTGCACCAGCAGATTAGACGGCCCAGGTGAGAGGGACAAACTCCTAGACACACGAGCGCCAACACTGATTCAGAAGAAACAGAAAGTCTGAAGGGACCTCTAACAAGTGAGGGATGGAGTCAGTTAGCAAAAACGTCCCAGCAGAGAACGCCCAGGCCCGGGACTGCTGAGCCCCACCAAACGACTAAAGAGAACCGTCAACAGCAGTCTTTCTCGAAACATCCCCCCAACAGAGGAGAAACGCTTCCTGACGTGCTCCGTGAGGCCAGCACGGCCTGAGAGGAACGTCAGACAAACACCACACGGAAGCCACACACCAACACCTGCAAACGCAGACAGAAAATCCTCGACAAAATACCAGAAACCTTCATCTAGTGGCATATTAAGCGGTTATGCACCATGACCAGTGGGATTCATCCCAGGAGTGCAGGGGGGACTCAAGGCACAAAGATCAGTATTTACACCACAGTAATAGAAGGGAAGGTGGGGACAGAGCCAGCTCAACTGACGCAGGAGAACCATCTGACAAAGTTCAACATCTTCTCATGATAAAAAGACTCCGAAAACTAGGGACAGGAAAGAACTTCTTCAACATGACAAAGGGCGTTTATGAAGAACCCACGGTTGACACCACAGCTGATGGTGAAGACAGTTAGGAGCGGGAACAAGACAGGAATGCCGGTCCTCACGAGCCAGAGTAACTAGGCAAGGAAACGGGTTCATAAAGGGGCAAGTAAAATTATCTCCCGGCCCAGATGGCATGACCCTTTATTAGAAAATCCCAAAGAGTCTGTGCCCCCAGACGTACCAGGGTTGATAGAAGAAACCCTAGTAAAGTTTCAGGGAACAAAACCAACACACAGAACCAGCAGTGTTTTGTAATATACTAGCAGTGAACAATTCAAAACGGAAGTTAAGAAAACAATTCCATGTACAGCAGCATGCAGAAAATAAAATATCTAGAAATAAACAACCAAGGAGGGGAAAGTCTTGTGCACTGAAGACTACAAAACATCATGGAAAAAAATTAATGAGGACCTAAACAAATGGAAAGACATGCCATGTTCATGGATGAGATGACTTGATGCTGGTGACATGGCAACGCCACATAAAACGACCTACAGACCCAGCGCAATCCCTACCAAAATTCTAACGGCCTTTTATGCAAAATCGGAAACGCTGACTCTCAAGTTAGTATGGAATAGCAATGGGCCCCAAATAGCCAAAACAATCTTGGAAAAGAACAAAGTTAAATGACTCCCACTTTCTGATTTCAGAGCTATAGTCCTCAGTACTCACGTAAGGATAGACACATAGATCAACGGAATAGAATTGATAGTCAAGAAATAAACCCATAGATCTAGGCCAGTTGACTTTTGACAAGGGTTCAAGACCATTCAATGGAGAAAGAACAGCGTCTTCAACAA